TCTCTGAATGTAGACCGGGGGTCCTAAACATGCAGGGGGTTGACACGGGGGAGAAGCCAATGTGAGAACATACCTTTGCCTCATGTCAGGCTGGAGCCAGGCCACGTGGCTCTAGGAACTCATTCAGATCCTTCTCTGAGTGTCTGGCATTCAGTTATGCAGCATAGGATAGGAGCTCCTGGAAAATTACTTACGGGGCTCTTCTAACAACCAGGCAACCTACGCCATAGGGGTGAATATATTTACCTCTCCTGCGTCACAGGTGCTTCCTGGGGCAGCCACCAGCCCGCTCCTGCAATGGCAGTAGAGAGGGAGAGAGTTTGTTTGGCAGCGGGGCCGTGCCCTGGATCAGCGTGGCTTCAGGCTGGGCCACCCTCTTCCTGTGGGCGGCCAGGAGATGCCTTGTTCATGGGCTGGCTTCATGGGTGTGCCCCCCTTGCGTGTGCTCAGAAGGGTTAATGCTTGATGAATGCGCGGCTGCTGCTGTTTTTAAATTCTTATTTTACACAAGAAACCCTGCATTTTCAGCTTGCACGGGGGCCCTGCAAGTGATGTAGCCAGTCCTGTTTGCTCAAGGTCCCACAGCTGTTGGGAGTGTGTGGCCTGCATTCCTCGCTGTCTTTGGGGTCTGTCAGCTGACCAAGCTGCTGGGGAGGGGCCGGGAGGGGCCACGGTCCCCGCTGTCGGTGGGGCTGGCATGCATGGCAGCTGCACGTGGAAGCTAGGCAGCTGAGCAAGGTCAGATGGGATTTCTGGAATGAGCACGCACATTCTCTGGCTGCCACTCTGCACCCCTGCCTCCCTCCCTCCCTCCCTCCCTCCCCTGCCCCTTTCCTCTTCACCTGGAAACACCATGTGCACCATGTGACCTTGACCGCAAAGGGAAGGGGGCCAGAAATCCTCCACCCATAGCAGACCGGCATCCCCTGACCCTGCCCTGGAGTCGAGTCCATCCGGGCTTCCCCTAGAGTTTATTTTTGATGGATGAAGACAAGAATTATCGGAGGAGTGAGGGCTGCGCTCCTGAGGGCTTCCTCAGGCCACAGCGGGTCCTGAGAGCACATGTGAGTCCAGTGGTCCTCGGGAATGCAGGACCACCCCACGCCCACGCCCACGCCCTCGCCCTGCCAGAGCACAGTCCCTGCCTGCCATCAAGTTCAGCAGGAAAACAGAGAGCTGAGGAGTGAGACCAGGATTATGGGCTCCAGAGAAGGGATGTCAGGGGTTAGTGCCAACTTTGCCACCTGAACCTAGTGGTCTCCAAAGTGGGGTGCACAAGAATCCCCCACCCAAAGATAACGTTAGAACTCCTATGTGTGTGTGTGTATGTATATATCTTTTACATTCTATTTTTTGGGTCTGTTTTTGTAGTGCACAAAATGTATGACTGGGGTGGTAGGTGTGTATGTTTGTGTATTGCTCATTGTGTGTGTGTGCAGGTGGATTCGTTTGCTAGGATTGCTGTAACAAAGTACCACACACCAACTGGCTTAAACAATAGAAATTTATTCTCACAGCTCTGGAGGCTACAAGTCCAAGGTCAAGGTGTTGGCAGGGTTGGTTTCTTCTGAGGCTGTGAGGGAGATTCTCTTCCATGCTGCGCCCTAGCTTTGGTGGTTTGCTGGCCATCTTTGGCATTTCCTGACTTGTAGATGCATTGCCCCAATCTCTGCCTTCATCTTCACATGGCGTTCTCCCTGTGTCTGTGGGCAAATTTCCCTTTTTATAATGAGCCCAGTCGAATTGGATTAGGGGCTCATCCTATTTCAGTATGACCTCATCTTAATTAATTACATCTGCAATGACCTTATTTCCAAATAAAGTCACATTCTGAGGCATGGGGTGAGGGCTTCAGTGTATGAACTTTGGGGGACATAATTCAACCCCGAACAGATGGCATGAGCAGTGAAACAGCTGGAAAACCCTGGCTTAGCGAAGCCGTTCGCTTTCTACGGCCAGCTCACCTTGGCTGTGTGTTGGCCCAGCTGTCTCCACGCCTCATCAGCAGACCCTGGTCCGTAAAGTAGTCCTGCTGAATAGCAAGAGCTGCTGCCAGGGTTTGCTGGGCCCTGAGCCTCCCATCTGCTAAGAAGAGGAGAGTCTGCGTCAGAGGTGCGGGACCCTGGGTGCCCGGAACGGGGAGAGTCCCTTGGGCCCTGCTTCTCTCCCCTGTCGTGACACGCCCAGTCACAGTGAATGAAAGAAGTAGCACTAAGCAGTCACAAGTGAAAGAACTGCGTTTGTCCAGTCCCGCGATGGAGGTTAAGAGCCTTGGTCTCTTGTGGCAGGAGCTTGGGTAAGTCACAGGATTCTAGGATTTGAAAGTTGGCAGGCACCTTTGAGATCATCCAGTCCCACCCTCTCATTTTGTAGACGAGGGGACTGAAACCACAGGAGGGGAGAGTCTTGCTCAGGGTTTCAGTTAGGATTTGGATCAGTGGCTGGGTTAACTGTCTATTGCTGCATGACAAATTATCCCCAAACAACACACTTAATTTTGTAGACCTTTTGCTCGTCAAGAGTCTAAGCTTGGCCTAGCCAGATCCTCTGCTTCAGCTAGTGAGGTTCATCTAGTCCCTGGCCATGGGTCAGAGGCCACCCGTAGCTCCTTGTCATGTGACCTCTTCAACATGACAGTTTGCTTCATGAAAGTGTGCAAGCTGAGAAGGCAATAGAGAGCCTGCAAGACAAGTCATGGTCTTTTGTAACCTGATTGCAGAAGTGACATCCTATCACTTTTGCCATGTTCTAATTGTTAGAAGCAAGTCACCAGGTCCAACCTACACTCAAGGGAGGTGATTAAACAAGGGTGTGGATAGTAGAAAGCAGGGGTCATTGAGGGCCATCTTAGGGAACTGCTTACCATAGCAGCATATAATTGGAAATCCAAATTACAGTGGTTTAAACAACACAGAATTTATTTTTCTCCCATGTGAAAGAAATGTAGAATCAGGCGTCCTAGGGCTGGTATAAGGGCTCTGTCATCACCAGCAGCCCCGGCTCCTGTTTTCTTGCTTTGCCATGCTGAATGAGTATCTACTCTCCTCAGAGTTGCCTCAGTCCAAGAGGGCTGCTGGAGCTCCAGGCATCATATCCACATTCCAGGCAAGAAGGATAAAGTGGCAAGGGTAAAGAGCATATGCTGACTCGGTCAGTCCATTTGAAATGTTTCCTACTCAGTATCTCCCTTATGTATCTCATTGGCCATTACTATCCATGAAGGAGGCTGGAAAATACAGTTTGTATCTGGGTACCTGTCTCCCTCAATGTTATAAGGGTTTTTTAGTAAGGAAGAAGGAGAGACTAGGTATTACAGATTCAACTAGAAGTGTCTGCTACTCTCATGGCTCCACACCCTGCAGGTGGTAAAGCCAGGTTTCTGGGTCTCACTGCATTGTGTGGACCTTCTCCCATTTCCTGGTCTCCTGGAGCAGCTGTGTGGGTAAAACAAGGGTCAAGCATTGAATGATGAAACATTGAATGAAGAAGTATAATGCTGACTCGCCGATTTCATTTGTTCCCTCTCTCATTCATTGGACAACCTGTTCCTGATTATTTATTCTTCACAAGACAGCAGGAAAGGAGGAAGAAACAGGCTTGGGGGGGAAACAGACATGTGGGTGGATAAATGACCATCGAACAGAGAACTCACCAGAAAACCAGCCGTGAGAAGAGGCAGGCAGGCTGGGTCTTGCAGGGTGGATAAGAGTTGTCAGGGCAGGAAGCAGGGAGGAAACAGCCGTGCACCGGTCTGCAGATCCAGCCCTCTGGTCTAAAGGAGGGCCTGCTGGGATGTTCTCTCTTCTCCAGCCTGAGAACCTGGGCTCTTTCAGGTGAGGAGACCCAGCAGCCTAGGCAAGAAACAGGCCTGAACCTCAAGCAGATCCCATGAAGGGGCCTCTAGCACCTTCTAGTTCATTGCTTCTCCAGCTGTGCCAGTCCATCCTCTGTCTCCTGGATTCCTTAGACTTCCAGTGCACATGTGTCAGGCTTCAGGCCCTGAAACATTGGGCGGGCAGCGAGGTGGGCAGGGAAACCCCAGCTGAGGGTACTGGAGAATGAGGGGAAGTTCTGGGATCATATCCAGTTCTAGATTTCTCCTGCATGGGGACCTAAGGAATATCACAGGCATCCCCCTTGATTGGTTTAAGTTTTGATTGATTTATATGTCACATGAGAACAACCAAGACCATACAACTTAGCCTGTGAGCTTCTGTTCATTCATTCATAAAATTTCAGAGGCCTTGGTGTGAGGAAGTCATTAGCAAGGAGAAAAGGTGCTCGGATGTGCCTGAAGCCTGCCGTCCTCCAGCACCATATGGAGAATTACATGAGAGGCCACAGGCCAGCAGGGCTTGTGAGGGAAGGGGGCGGGTAGTGAGGAGGAGCTGGGACTAAGCTCAGGGCGTGAACCATCACTGTGCATCTAAAAGCTCGGGATTGGAACTTGGAAACATTATTGCCCTTTGGTATTTGCCATCAGGAGAATCCACTGCTGGGAGGTATGTGGAATGGTGAGCTGGCATTGCAGTACAGACGGCAGGCTCCTTACTTAGCATTGTGGCAAAGGGCGGGGGCTGGGGCGGGAATTCTACAGCAACACCCAGAGCAAGAAGGAGGATGAGAACGCCTATAACAACAATGATAATCACTGAATATGCTGACATAATCAACTTGAGTTAACGTACTTTATAGGAATTTTTGTCCTCAGGTCCCACCTCCAACCCCAGCCTTCTTCCCAGGAAATCGGGGCCAACTGCAGGGGTACTCTCATGTCCTAACTCTGTCCCTATAGAGTTTAGCAGATTCTAGATTAAGCGGTGATGTCCAGGTGACACGTGGACAGGATGCTGCCCACCCAGCAGGGGCCCTGATGCATAGCCAGAGCAGAAAATTACCTCTCGGCCAGGCAGCTCACGGATGCGGAAAGGTCTTGCAAAACAGCAGAGGCCCTGCAGGAGAGGTGTGAGCAGACAGTCCTGCTGGCCTGGGTGGCGGCGGTGCCTCACAGCGTGGCGTGCCCTCCGTGTGACCAGTCACCCGAGTCTGGGGGCAAAGGCTCCATGGAGCTAGCATCCTAACCAGGCGATCAGCAAGCAGGAGAGACCCCACAGCCAACTTATTTCTTCCTCTTAAGGTTTGTTCTTTTTTCTTTTTTCTTGCTTATATAACAATGCTACAAGCTCGTTTTGGAAGGAAAAAAAGGAGGACAGTATAGAAAGAGTAGTCCTAATTCCACCTGTGAGAGATGTTTTAGGATATTTGTTGTTTATAGTCAAGCAGTAGACTCCAAAGGCTGTTTGTCCCCTTGTGGCCCTGTGCTGACTCAGGGCAGAGGTCACCTCCCCCTTACTGGGCACCCCGGTTCTAGCACAGTGCCTGTCATGCACTAAGGAAGTGGCCTGTGTTTGTTGTACTCTGAGTCAAGGGCAGAGCCATGGGAACACCGAAGGGACATTTCTTTTGCGCTTGGAAAGTTCAATGTCCCCAGCTCTGTTCTCTGGCCTGTCACTGCAGATCAGACTGGAAGGTTGGATATTTTTTTTCTCCCTTGGATAATGCTGGATGAGATGGACAAATTCGTCCTTACCTTTTCCCCCCTAATAATCCTGACCAGCCCTGGGTGGCCTCCTGGTCTACCTGTCCTAGTGCAGCTTGTCCCGTTAGTTACAGTTCACACTGACATGTCCCTGGTGAGGCAGGACTCCGCTGAAATCTGAGATGTACCCCCCTTGCTCTCAGCTGCACAGGGAGGGTGTTTCCAGGGCTGCTGTTCCCCTGTCTAAAGGCACGTTCCTGGTCTGGCGCTCAGACCTTGGCCTTGCATCCCCGGAAGCGTATCTCAGCTCTGCTGAACTGGACCCACCCTCACCTCAAAGGCTTTAGGCCCATTCTTCATCCGGCTCTAGGAAAATGGTTAAAGTTTTTGTTGAAATGAAGTGGACCTGACCCTGTGAATCTGGGTTAATGTCAGGGGGCCAGCTCCCTAATCCCAGGCTCACAAAAGAAAAATGTTTTTCCCCCTCCTTAGTCCAATGCCCGGTAAGACTGACATACTGCCAGGATGAGAGCGCCGTGTTGAGATTTCGAGAATCGATGTGGCAACCTCCTGCACTCTGAACGCTGTCTGCATGCAGCAGATAAAATGATTTCCAACATCGGGCACATGCGGGCGTTTCCACACTCTCGTAGGGGAGGCAGCAGGCATGGTGTCTCTCCAAGGGCCTCGCTCCCACGGGACTGCATGACTGGGAAAACACCTGGCCAGCCTCATTTATGAACGTGGCACAATACTGTTGAGTGGCAGCCTGGGGACCAGCCCCGGGGGAGTGGAAATGCAGTCCCCCAGCAGCTATCAACTAATGGTCCCAAGATGTTGTTGGGATGACATTTCTCACCATCCATTCTCATGAGGTCGGTAAGACTAAAATTGACTACATGTACTGATAGATTAATCATACTGTCCTGTGTGCTCTAAAATACTGGCCTTGTTTGTTTGTTTAAGTAAGAAAACATAAGACCAGGTTAGACATGGCAATCTCCTGGAGGTAGCCTGAGGGAGGTGAAGAAGCGTCGGCACAGATCTCAGCTCACAAGGGTTTTAGTCCTGGCTTTTGTGGTTGGGGGGTGTCACGTCCCAGCTCCGTGCTTATGTTTCCTCACCTGTAATATGAGGGATTGGTTTGCCCCCTTCCTAGTTTATTTTTCGCATGTCACTATGCCTGACGTCAGGGTGCATCTTCGTATGGGTAGCCACCAGCCATCATTGCCCGGGCAGGTGTGAACGTGGTCCTGCTGTTCAGACCGTCATGACCTCAGATGAATTAGGTGGATTTTTGGTTATTCAGATGTTCAGCATACTTGTCATTCAAATGTCTTCAAAAAGATCTCACTGTGATTTATTATCGGCACCGAAAGTTACTATGTACACGGAAGGGCATGGGAACAGTGGCAAAGCATTGATTTGATATTAGAAAAGCAAATATTTACTGCTGGGGGGAAAACTGCAATCTCATTCTTAGAAAACAACAAGAATCGCCAGTCTCATGCATGCTAAGCAATGCCACCTCCAAAGGTGACAGAAATCCCCACATCCCTCAGAAGAGATGAAAGGATCTCAAAGCCACAGGAGGCTTGTGTGACCATTGTCTGCATGCAAGACCGTCATGAAGCCATTATATCATAGTGTAACTGGCAACATCTTTTCTTGTCTTTGTGGCTCATAAAATAATGATAGATCTTACAATTGATGGCTTTGCTTTCTAAGGTTTCTCCTGGTTTTTATATATGATAGTTATATTTGTGTTTTTCTGTCAATTAGGGCAAACTAATAACAATAATATTGTCAGTATTCCTCTCATATGCTGGTGCTTTTCCTCTGAGACCCACAGCCCTTGACTCATATCAATTTCCTGGTTGCTTTGTTGCCTTACCTGTTATTTTCCTAGCACCTAACACCAAACTTGAGTGGGTATTTTTTAAAGGAATGGGTGGAAAACTGTATTTATGAATGGGTGGATGGATAGAAGGAAGGAAGGAAGGAAGGAAGGCAGGCAGGCTGGATGGATGGATGGAAGGAAGGATGGATATATGGATGGGTAAATGGATGGATGGAGCTGTTCCAGAATATGCATCCCCATCTTTGGTGAGGCAGCAGAATTCCTTCTAGGGAAGTTGCAGGCATTGGTCCCAGGTTCAGTGGGAAATAGAGTGAGTTTTCTAGGCTTTTTGTTGATTTACTTATAGTTTTAGATGATTCTCACAAGGACAGTGCCCTGGGGCGGTCTCCAGGATAATCACCCCAGCCTCGGGCCCAAGGCCATCCTCCTGGAGCCAGCTTGTGTAGATACACTAGTTTTGTAAGCAACTTCATTGAGATATAACTTACATGCCATACAGCTCGCCTGTTTAAAGTGTGCTGTTAGATGGTTTTCAGTATAATCACAGGTATGGGCACCCAGAGCCAATTTTAGAACATCTTCATTGCCTCAAAAGAAACCTCATACCCTTTAGCTATTGCCATGATCACCCCGCCCACCTGTGCTTTCCCCCACCTTGGCCCTAAGCAACCACCAGTGCATTTTCTGTTTCTATGAATTTTCGTATTCTGGACATTTCATATCAGTGGGATCATATAATGGAGTCATAACAGTCTTAAAGTTCATTCATGTTTCGCATGTATCAGTATGCTTTTTATGGCCAAGTAATATTTCACTGCATGGATATACCTACCACATTGTGTGGACATAGGGGTTGTTCCCATGTTTTGACTATTATTAATAATGCTGCAAAAAATTTGTGCAAGGTTTTGTGTGGACGTATATTTTCATTTCTCTTTGGTATATACCTATGGATAGAATTGTTGGGTCATATGTTCACTCTATGTTGAACGGTTTGAGGAGCTACTACACTGTTTTTCAAAGCAGCCACGCCCTTTTTGGGTTCCCATTGTCAGCGTGCCAGGGCTCTGATTGCCCCGCGTCCTCACCAATGCTTGACTGAGTGGTGTGCAAGGCCGTTCCTCCAACGGAAGGCCCCTCTGTGCCTTCATGTCTGTTCTTTCCTGTGTCTCAGTGGACTGTGTCGAGGGCTCTGGGGAGTTTCTCAGTTAATTATCTGCCAGGTAACTGCTCCGCTTGCTCCCTGCAGTTGTGACTGGCTGCAGAGGCTCCTGCTGTGTGTGTGTAAAGAGGTTATCTGTTGCTACCGCATGCTAGTGGGTGAAATTAGCCTCAGGGATCATGGGACTAGAGAACCTGAGGACCGTGGACTGTGGTGGGCAGCCGTCCAGGCTCTGCCACCGAGTGGGCTCTCTCTGCAAGGCATCTGGCTGCATCTGGGGGTCCTCGCTGCAGCCGCCTCAGCTGGGCAGAGCGCTCCCAGGTCACAGAGACCCCGATGGGCAGCTCCATAGGTCTCCTGTGGGTCACCCGGGGCCTTCCGTCCATCTTCTTTAGAATCGTACTTTGTGCCAGGTGCTGAAAGTATGCAAGGATGAGAAGGATAAAATGACCCCTGTCCAAACACTGTGTTCTGTAGTGGGTTCCTGGCGGAAATGATGTGGAGCTCAGACTTTCTGCCTGCCTCTTTCCCTGGATTACTTCACCTTAGTGTGTCTCAGAGAATTACCTCACCTTAGTGTGTCTCAGAGAGAAACACGTGGGGAAACCAGCTCCAGGAGAACTATCATACCTGGATCTTCAGCATGTCCTTGGCCAACAGCTCTCCCCATTGGCTTGCCCAACCATCGCCAGAGACCTCCGTGCCTGGGGCTCTGTGTTCTACAACATTGAAGACATAGCTAGGAAATGTGTGGGCCACCCCTGTCTGCTTCAGTTTCCTCATTTGTCAATGAGGACAAAAACAGTGCCTATATTATAGGATTGTCTCGGATTAAATGTACATATACCAGGTATTTATCACAGGGCTTGGCACATAACAAATGCTCAGCAAATGTTAGTTTTTATCTTTTATATATCAGGGGAAGCCATTTAGCATTGCTTTAGAAAAATAAATAGGGTATGAGAGGAAAATTGTTTGGAAACCAGTATCGTCTGTGGGGAATACAGTATCGATGGCTGCTTTCTTGCTTCAGTAAAGGTCAGGGGGCGGCTGTCCCTGAGTAGGAGTCCCCCTGCCTGGGGACCTCCAAGCAAAGACAGAGGCAGCCACTCCAGGAATCGGGGGCCTGGCCGTTGGTTTTCTGTGGGTTTTATGCTCCTGGGCCCTGGCTGTTTGGTTCTTTTTCTCCCCGTGGGTCATAGAGAATTCAGGGAGAGCTGTAAGCGCCCCGGGCCCTGGACGAGTTCAGGGTCCCGGTGGTGGCTATCTGTGGGCCTCAGGCACTTCGCCTGACACACACGGGCTACTCAGACAAAGAGGCTCCGCCCAGCCTCCCTGTGAGAGCTGCATCCACGGCTGCTGTGCCCCCAACCCTGTGCCTGTCAGCAGCCAAAGGGGACAGAATGTAGTTACCTGCTGGCCGCTTTCTCATTTCAGGGAATCCATCATCAAATACTCACTGGTTAACTAAACACCTAGTGGGCCCAGGTCTGGCTCCCAGGGGATGCAGGAAGGAGCAGGCACATCCTGGGCCTCTAAGAGCCCTCCGTTCAGTGGGGGAAGGAGGCGGCCCCT